CTCTGACATACTCCCCTTTTCTTCCTCTCCTGTTATCTTCTTCTTTTGCAAGGAACAAATTCTTAACTATAGAGAACAAACTGATGCTTACTGGAGTGGGGGTGGGGTGGTTCAATAGGGGAAACAAACAGGGCAAGGGGATTAAAGAGTACTTATCATGATGATATATAAGGAAGAGTTAACACCTATTTTTCTCAATCTATTCCAAAAAAATAGTTGAAGAAGGAAAGCTTCAAATTCATTCTATGAGACCAGCATTAGCCTGATAAAACCAAATGAAGACACCACAAAAAACAAAATTACAGGCCAGTATCTCTGATGAACATAGATGCAGAAATCCTCAACAAAATACTAGCAAGCCAAATCCAACAATACATTAAAAAAAATCAACAAGATCAAGTGGGATTTATTCCCAGGATGGAAGGATGGTTCAATATTTGCAAGTCAATCAATGTGATATATCAATTAAAGAAAGGATAAAATCCATATGATCATTTCAATAGATACATAAAAAACATTTGACAAAGTATAACATCCATTCATGATTTTTAAAAAGGCCCTCAACAAGATAGGTTTAGAGGGAACATACCTCAACATATAAAGACCTTACATGAAAATCCCACATCATAGTCAATGGGAAAAAATTGAGAGCATTTCCCCTATGTGAGGAATAAGACAAGGATGTCCACTTTCACCACTTTTAGTCAACAAAGGCTGGAAGTCCTAGCCACAGCAGTCAAACAACAAAAAGAAATAAAAGGCATCTAAAACATTAAGGAAGAAGTAAAACTTTCAGTATTTGCAGATGACATAAGACTACATAGAAAACCCTAAAGACTCCACCCAAAAGCTATTAGAACTGATAAATAAATTCAGTAAAGTTGCAGGATACAAAATCAATGTACAGAAATCTGTTTCATTTCTATACACTATTGATGAACCAGCAGAAAGAAATTAAGAAAACAATCCCATTTACAGTTGCACCAAAAATAATAAAATACCTAGGAATAAACGTAACTAAAGATGTAAAAGAAATCCAAGACCACACAAAGAAATGGAAAGACCTTCCATGCTCATGGATTGGAAGAACAAATATTATTAAAATGTCTTATACTACCCAAAGCAATCTACAGATTTAATGCAAATCCCTATCAAAATACCAACAGCAGTTTTCACAGAACTGGATCAAACAATCCTAAAATTTGTATGGAACCACAAAAGACCCTGAATAGCCAAAGCAATTTTAAAAAAGAAAAGGTGGAGGCATCAGAATTCCAGTAATGAGAACAGTATGGTACTGACACAAAAATAGACACATAGATTAATGGAACAATAGGATACACAGAAATAAACACACAACTACATGATCAATTAATCTTTGAAAAAGGAGGAAAGCATGTGCAATGGGGAAAAGTCTGTTCAACAAATGGTGTTAGGAAAACTGGACAGCAGCATGCAAAAGAATGAAACTGGACCATTTTTTTTCACCATACACAAAAGTAAAGCCAAAATGGCTTAAAGACCTAAAATGTGAGACCTGAAACCATAAAAATCCTAGAAGAGAGCACAGGCAGTAACTTCTTTGACATCAGGTGTAGCAATCAATATTTTCCTAGATATTTCTCTTGAGGCAGGGGAAATAACAAAAATGAACAGTTTTGACTACTAAATTAAAAGTGTCTGCACAGAGAAGGAAACTGTCAACAAAACTAAAAGGCAACCTGTGGAATGGGAGAAGAAATTTGCAAATGGCATATCTGATAAAGGGTTAGTATCCAAAATATACAAGGAACTTATTCAACACCCAATAAACAACCCAATTAAAAAATGGGCAGAAGACATGAACAGACATTTCTCCCAAGAAGACATCCAGATGGCCAATAGACACATGAAAAGATGCTCAACATCAGTCATCATCAGGGAAGTGCAAATCAAAACCACTGTGAGATATTACCTCACACTTGTCAGAATGGCTAAAATCAAAAACTCAAGAAAGAACAAGTATTGGCAAGTATATGGAGAAAAAGGTACCCTGATGCACTTTTGGTGAGAATGCAAACTAGTGCAGCTACTGTGGAAACAGTATGGAGATTTCTTAAAAAATTAAAAATAGAACTACCCTAAATACCCAGTAATCACACTACTGGGTATTTACCCAAAAAATACAAAAACACTAAGTCAGAGGCACACATGCATCCCCATGTTTATTGCAGCATTATTTATAATTTCCAAATTATGGAAGCAGCCCAACTGTCCTTCAGTAGATGAAGGGGTAAAGAAATGGTGTGTTACAGACACACACACAAACAAATATTACTCAGCCATAAAAAAAAGACTGAAACCTTGTCATTTGCAACAACATGGATGGATCAGAGTGTGATGCTAAGCCAAATAAGTCAGTCAGAAAAAGATAAATACCATATGATTTCACTCATATGTGGAATTTAAGAAACAAACAAATAACAAAGGAAAAAAGACAAACCAAGAAACAGACTCTTAAATATAGAGAACTAACTGATGGTTACCAGAGATGATTTGGGTGGGGTTGGGTGAAATGGGTAATGGGGATTAAAGGTGATGGAAGAAAGCAAAAAAAAAAAAAAAAAGAGAGAGAGAGAAACAAAAAAGAAAGGGTTTTCTCTAAATTACTTTCCACCATTAGCTAGTGGTTTGCCTTAACTTAGGTAAATTATCCATGTTTTTAAATGAAGCATCTGAAGTTTTGAAAAGTTGGTGCATTTGGTCAGTGGTCAGGAGTTACTCAGGGGTTTTGGGTGAGGTGGTTTAAAGACAGGACTAGAAACCAGCTGGTCTGTTTTCTAGTCAGGTGCCTTCAGCACACCATGCTGTCTTTGGTCCTGTTGTGCCATGGCTCCTGCAGCCTGTGGTCACTTCTGTGTGCACTATTCTCACATCAACTGTATCAGAATTAGACACCTATTGAACAATGCAGTCAATATTTATCATATATATATATTTATATATATATAATGATCTGTGGTTCTCTTTACAAAGGAGATAATTGTGTACTGTTGTTGATCATTTATTTTTGAGTACATACTTTTAAACCTTGCATAGTGAAGTGAAAACAGATGGATTGATTTTTTTTTTTTTTTTGTAATTTCCCCTGGAAACCTGCCGAGTGGATGTTTTGAGTCCTTTTTTGCCAGGTGGATATATCAGTATGGTGTTGGCAGGGGCATCTGTGTTCTGCAGGGGGATATTCACACAGTTACCAACCCTAAGGATTCTTGAGTCTTCAGTCAAAGAAGATTTAAAGGATTTGCTTAAGAATAATATATTTCCTGGGCGCCTGGGTGGCTCAGATGGTTAAGCGTCTGCCTTCGGCTCAGGTCATGATCCCAGGGTCCTGGGATCGAGTCCCGCATCGGGCTCCCTGCTCCTTGGGAGCCTGCTTCTCCCTCTGCCTCTCCCTCTCTCTCTCTCTCTCTCTCTCTCTGTCTCTCATGAATAAATAAATAAAATCTTTAAAAAAAAAAAAAAAAAAAGAATAATATATTTCCTAATTCAATCAGGTATCCAAGTTAAGACAGCATAAAGGCAGCCAAATAGTTGATAAAGGAATAAGTGGTCCTCCCTACCTATTTGGATAGACATGTTTAGAAAAATGGCATTCAGATATACCATAACATTTTCCAGTTACATATTTTAATTAAGATTAAATAGTAAACTGTTTTTGCTAATCTGTGCTTTTGTTTTAGGACAGTCTGTAAAAGTATACATAAATCAATAGAGAAATTCCACCTTTTACTCCCAGAAAATACAAACAAAAAGAATGTAAAGACTTCTGAAAGAAACTTAATTTGGAGAATTTTTATGACGGTACCTAATGTCTGCCTTACATGGTGCCAGGTACTGTGAATTATAAAAATGAAGGGTACCTGCTCTCAGGTCATTCGTAATCTCCTGAAAGAGACACCTCAACAAAAATATTGTTACAGTGTGGCAGGATCTGCAACTGAGGTATCACAGATTGCCATAGGAATAATAATAACTAAAGTTATAATCCAGCTGGTGGGTGTGTGGGGGAAATGCCAAGAGGAGTTCTTTTATATTCTGAGATTTTAATGATTTCTAGAAACTTTGACAGAGCTATAAGTAATCTGGTACATGAGCCTTTTAAGCTTTCTCTTAGATTAATGTATACTTCCAGAATGCCTCTTTGCTTTCCCAGTCCTTAAGTCATGTCTCTAGAGCCATGCTGCCTGGGTTCAGATTCCTGCTTCTCCTCCTAGTTGTATGACCATGAGCGGATTACTTTCTGTGCTTCAGTTTTATAAGTCTCAAGGAAATTTTAGTTCTCATTATTAATTTTGGAAGTTAATAAACCAGGAACATTGAAACATGATCACCATGTTGATCATTTTGATTATTTCTAAAATGCTATTTTCTGTCAAATAAAATTTTCCATTTTTTTTCCCCTTTCTAGCTCCAAGAGGAAAGCGAGGATGGAAAACTTTTTATGCTGTACTAAAGGGAACAGTCCTTTACTTGCAAAAGGTAAACATAAATTAAAAAATGAAGCTCACAAAACTTTATGAAATGATTTGACAAGGTATCCAGAAAATATTTACTTTGTACAAAGAGACTACATCAAACACCCAAAAGATTATTTAATTGATGTCTAAATTCTTTTTTAGGTTTTTTTTTGTTTCTGGTTAAAAAATTATTTTAGAAATTATATATATGTAATTGTATATTATATAAAGTATTTTATACATAAAATATTTTGATATATGTGTTATAGTATATATTAAATATAAATATAAATATTGAGCTGTGTTCCATTTGTGTTCAGTTAGAAATTTTGAATAGAGGTTGATAAGTCAGACTGCAAATGGTCTATGTAGGTACAGACCTGTGGCAGCACTTGTTTCAATGGTTATTTATACTATAGATTAGTTAGAGCCTTCATTTATCTCCTTCACTAATGCTATGTAATGGTATATCTTCACTTAATTATTTGCCTTCATTTAGATCTTACCTAAATCTAGAAACACATTTCATTCAAGTCCTGAAGCATTGGTACTTAATCCAAATTATCTGAGTAAGTTTTTAACCAGACCATTTCCTGCCCAGATCCTTTCTTCTAATCCCAGAATCTGGGAACCTGTTTGGGGTCAAGTTTGTATGTTCTGGCCTTTGAAGGGTAATCCTGGAGCTTCCACCTCCCTAGCTCTGTGTGTGTGAACATGGGAAATTTGTGTGTTGACTGGAATGAGGTCCACTGCTTCCCAGGGCCAAATAGGATTCCAGCTCTAACTGTGAAGGGCAGCTTGGAATTCAGGCAAATAGGCAGCAAGGCAGTAACAACATTGTCCTCAATGATGACTGATAGGAAAAGTCTTAATTTTTTAACTGTGGTCAAAAACATATAACCCTCAATTAATTTCTAAGTACACAGTAGATAGTATTAACTATCAGCACAGTGTTGTACAGTAGATCTCTAGAATTTTCCATCTTGCATGACGAACAATTCCAAGTGAACAGCAATTCTCTCACTCCCCCCTCTCCCCAACCCCTGGCAACCACCATTCTACCTTCTGTTTCTATGAGTTTGGCTATTTCATGTAAGTGGAAACAAGTAGTATTTGTCCTTCAGTGACTGGCTGATTTCATTTAACATAATGTGATGAAGGTTCATCCGTGTTGTAGCCTACGACAGAATTTCCTTCTTTTTTATGGCTAAATAATATTCTATTTTTTACTTCATTTTCTTTTTTCATTCATTCATCCATAGATATTTATGTTGTTTCCACCTCTTGGTCATTGTAAATAATGCTGAAGTAAACATGGAGTGCATATCTCTTTTTGATATCCTGATTCAATTCCCATTGATAACACAAAAGTGGGATCGCTGGATCATATGGTAGTTCTGTTTATTTTGTGAAGAATGTCTATACTGTTTTCCATAGTGGCTGAATTATTTTCAGTTCCCACCAACAGTGTCCAGGAGTTCCAATTTCTCCACATGCATGTCAGCGCTTCTTATTCTCTGTTGTTTTGTTTTGTTTTGTTTTTTGTTTTGTTTTGTTTTTAATAATGGCCATCCTAACAGGTGTGAGGTGATATCTCATTGTAGTTTTGATTTACATTTTCCTGATGATTAGTGATGTCAAGCATCTTTTCAATACCAGTTGGCTATATGAGTGTTGTCTTTGTAGAAATGTCTATTCAAGTCCTTTACCCTTATTTTTCTTTTGTTTTTTTGCTGTTGAGTTATAGGAATTCCTTATGTATTTTGGATATTAATCCCTTATCATATATATAGTTTTCAGATATTTTCTCCCATTCTGTAGGTAGCCTTTGCATTCCCTTGTTTCCTTTGCTGTACAGAAGCCTTTTACTTTTGTATAGTCTCACTTGTCTATTTTTGCTTCTGTTGCCTGTGCTTTTAGTATCACATCCAAGAAATCATAGCCAGTGTCAGTGCCAACAAGCTTTTCCCCTATGTTTTCTTCTAGTTTTATAGTGTCAAGTCTACATTTGAGCCTTTAATCTATTTTGAGTTAACTTTTGTGTAGAGTGTAAGGATGAAATTTCATTCTTTCGCATGTGGATACCCATTTTCCTAGTACTGTTTATTGAAGGAATTATCTTTTCCCCCTTGTGTACTGTTGGCCCTCTGTGGAAATCAGTTTACTGTATATGCATAGTATGTCTGTCCTTATGCCAATATTATAATGTTTTAATTACTGTAGCTTTGTAATGTATTTTGAAATCAGGAAGTGTGAGGTCTCTAAATTTGTTCTTTCTCAAGATTGTTTTGAGTATTCAGGATCCTTTCTTGTTCCATATGAATCTCAGGGTGAGTTTTCTATTTCTGTAAAAAACGCCATTGGGATTTTGATAGGTATTATATTGAATCTGTAGATGACTTTGGGAGGTATAAACATTTTAACAGTATTGTCTTCAAATCCATGAACATGAGATGCCTTTCCATTTATTTGTGTCTTTAATTTCTTTTAGCAATGTTTTCTTTTTTCAGTGTATAAGTTTTTCCCCTCCTTCATTAAATTTATTCTTAAGTATTTTATTATTTTTGATGCTATTATAAGTGGAAGTGTCTTCTTAATTTCCTTTCAAGATTATTCATTATTAGTATATAGAAATACAACTGATTTTTACATGTCAATTTTTTATCCTGCAGTGTTGCTAAATAAGTTTCTTAGTTCTAACAGGGTTTTTTTGGTGTGTGTGTGTGTGGAATCTTTGTAAAGTTTTCTATGTGTAAGGTCATGACATCTGTGAACAGACAGTGCTACTTTTTCCTTTCCAGTCTGGAAGCCTTTTATTTCTTTTTCTCACCCATTCTGGCTAGGACTTCAGTACTATATTGAATAGAAGAGGTGAGAGTGAGCTTCCTTGTCATATTTCTTTTCTTAGAAGAAAAACATTCGGTTTTTCACCATTGAATATAGTGTAAGCTGTGAGCTTTTCATATATGACTTTTATTATAGTAAGGTAATTTCCTTTTATTCTTTGTTGAATATTATCATTAAAAAGTCTTGAATGTTTATTAAATGCTTTTTCTGCATCTATTGAGATAATCATGTGGCTTATAACCTTTGTTCTGTTAATATGATTTATCACATTAATTGATTTTCATATATTGAATTATCTTTGTATCCAAGGAATAGTTCTCACTTGGTCACAGTGTGTGCTCCTTTTGATGTAGTGTTGGATTTGGTTTGCTGGTATTTTGTTGAGGATTTTTACATCTATATTCTTCAGGGATATTGACCTGTAGTTTTCTTGTGTATCTTTTTCTGGTTTTGGTATCAGGATAATGCTGGCCTCATAAAGAGAGTTAAAGTGTTCCCTCCTCAATTTTTGGGAAGAACTTGAGAAGGATTGGCATTATTTCTTCTTTGAAGCTCTTCTTTAGGGTACCTGGGTGGCTCAGTCAGTTAAGTGTCTGCCTTCAGCTCAGGTCATGATCCCAGGGTCCTAGGATCGAGCCCTGCATTGGGCTCGCTGCTCAATGGGGAGTCTACTTCTCCCTCTCCCTCTGCCCCTCCACCCTGCTCGTGCTTGCTCTCTGGCTTGCAGTCTTTCTTTCTCTCTCTCAAATAAATAAATAAAATCTTTAAAAAAATAAATAGACTCTTTAAAAGAATTTATGAGTAAGCCATGTGGTCCTAGACTTTTCTTCATTGGGGAGGGTTTTGATTACTGATTTAATCTGCTTACTAGATACAGATCTGTTTTGATTTTCTATTAATTATATGATTCAGTTTTGGCAGATTGTATTTTTCTAGGAATTTATCCCTTTCTTCTAGGCTGTCCAATTTGTTCATAGTTGTTTCTTATATTTGTAGTGTAGTTAAAGGACTGTCGGTTTTATTAATCTAAAAAAAAAAATTCTTGGGGTGCCTGGGTAGTTCAATTGGTTAAAGCATCCGACTATTGACCTCAGCTCAGATCGTGATCCCAGGGTCATGGCTTAAAGCCCCACGTTGGGCTCCACACTGATCGTGGAGGCTACTTTAAAAAAAAACAAAAACAAAAAACAATTCTATGTTTTGTTGATTTTTTTTTTGCTATTGTTTTTCTGGTTTCTATTTCATTTATTTCTGCTCTAAACAGAAATACACCTTTAAATATAAAGTGAGCCTCTTACAGACAGCAAATAGCTAGGTGTTGTTTTATTATCCATTGAGACCCTCTGTATTTTGGTTGGAGAGTCTAATCCATTTACATTTAATTATTAACAGCGCAGGACTTAATATTAGCATTTTGTAAATTGTCTCTTTTGTAGCCTTTTGACACTTTTTTCCTCTGTCAATGTCTTCCTGTGCATTTTATTGATATTTTGTAGAAACATGTTTTTATTGCTTTCTCATTTTTTTTGTGTATCTTCTGTACATATTTTCTTTGTGGTTACCATGAGGCTTACATAAAATGTTTTATAGTTCTAACAGTCTCTTTTAAGCTGGCAACAACTTAACATTGTTCAATCACGTACAAAAACACATACGCTTTCACTGCCTACCACAACATGCACAATTTATGATATTGATGTCAGAATTCTTTTAACAAATTTTTGTGTTTATAGTTATTCTTGACACATTTCTCTTTTAACTTCTGTGCTATAGTTATATGTGATTTGCACACCACTGCTACAGTATTTTATTTTTCTCTTATTTGTCATATTTGCCTTTACCAGTGATATTTATACTTCCATGTGCTTTCATGTTGCAGTTTCACATCCTTTCATTTCAAATTCTTGTTTTGTTTTCATTACACTTCTAGTAAGGCAGGTCTAGCAGTAGCAAAGTCCCTCAGTTTTTGTTTATGTGGGAAAATCTTTATCTCTTCTTCATTTTTTAAAGGACTAATTTGTTGGATATAGTACTGTTGGTTTGCAGGTTGTTTCCCACCATTCCGGATATATCATCCTATTTTCTCCTGACCTGCAAAGTTTTTGCTGAGAAGTCCTTTGAGAGTCTTAAGGGATTCCAGGTAAATTACAAGTCACTCTTTTGCTACTTGCAGAC